GTTTTTTTTTTTTTTTTTTTTTTTTTTTTCCGAAGCTCACTCACTAGGCTCTTGCCATTTTGATGCCGGACTATCAGGAGGGCCGGACAACTGGAGTTTTACTGTACTATGAAACACATATCATACCCTAGCATGGGGGATCCCCCCAATGACATGGGGCTCCCATGGCTGGGCAGTCCAGCACCAGATTCAACACCCCCCTCCACTTTCCTCCCCCCCACACAGAGGGGGCAGCCACTCTGCGGGGAGCCAGTCTCTCTGCAGAGAGGGCAGTATGGGGGCCAAGAAAGCAAGGAGGCTGACAGGATGCAGTCTCAGGAGAGCTGGCGAGCAGTGCCAACACAGGCTGGAAGACTTCAGAGGAGCATGGGGCAGCTACAGTCAGCCAGAGAAAAGCTGTGCTTTTAAGCGGGAAAGTGACACGTGTCTCCGGCAGCTAGCTGTGTGGCAACCCAATGCGCCTCTGAAGCCTTTCAGCCTGTGTTTGTGCTGCAGGCAGTCATCTGGTGAGTGACAGCTGCCCGTGGGGTGGGAGGGTGGGCAGCCATGGTTGCCCACAACGGGGGTGGAGTTGCCAGGGGATGGAGAGTCCACAAATTGCATAGCTGGCAGGAAAAAGCTAAATTTTGAAGCCTGAAAGCGCCGCTTTTCTCCAGCAGCTGGCTGTGTGGCTGCGCTGCCCCCACCTCCTGAGTCTCTAGCCTCTGTAAAGTTGTGCTGTTGTTGGCTGCCACCTGGTGAGCAGCTGGAGAATGAAGACCCTGGGGAAGGGTTGGGGAAGTACCCAAGTGGTGAATGGAACCATGCGCCCCTCCCCCACCTCCAGGTGGAGAATGTGGGTCTCTGCCCACTTATCTGAGCCAGCCAGCACAGGGCCACTGGGGTACCTGAAGTTGTCCTCTGCCGCCTTGGAGATCTTTATAGGCCGGTCAGTCTTATTTCAGTCCCGGGAAAAATCATGGAGGGGATCCTGAAGGAATCCATTTTGAAGCACTTGGAAGAGAGGAAAGTGATTAGGAATAGTCAGCATGGATTCATGAAGGGCAGGTCGTGCCTGACCAATCTGATTGGCTTCTATGATGAGGTAACTGGCTCTGTGGACATGGGAAAGTCAGTGAATGTGATATACTTTGACTTTAGTAAGGCTTTTGATATGGTCTCCCACAATATTCTTTCCAGCAAGTTAAGGGAACATGGATTCGATGGATGGAAGGTCGGGCCTAGCGGGTAGTGATCAACGGCTCGATGTCAGATTGATGGTCAGTTTCCAGCAGAGTGCCCCAAGATTTGGTGTGGGAACCAGTTTTGTTCAACATCTTTATTAATGACCTGAATGAGGGGATGGATTGCACCTTCAGCAAGTTTGCAGATGACACTAAGCTAGGGGGAGAGAGCGATACACTGGAGGGCAGGGATAAAGTCCAGAGTGACTTGGACAAATTGGAGGATTGGGCGACAAGAAATCTGATGAGGTTTAACAAGGACAAGTGCAGAGTCCTGCACTTGGGACAGAAGAATCCCAAGCATTGTTACAGGCTGAGGACCGATTGGCTAAGAAGCAGTTCTGCAGAAAAGGACCTGGAGATTACAGTGGATGAGAAGCTGGATATGAGCCAACAGTGTGCCCTTGTAGCCAAAAAGGCTAATGGCATATTAGATTGCATTAGAAGGAGCACTGCCAGTAGATCCAGAGATGTTGTTATTCCCCTTTATTCGGCTCCGGTGACCCCACATCTGGAGTATTGTCCAGTTCTGGGCCCCCAGCTACAGGAAGGATGTGGACACATTGGAGAGGGTCCAGCGGAGGGCGACTAAAATGATTAGGGGGCTGGAGCATATGACCTACGAGGAGAGGCTGAGGGAGTTGGGTCTATTAGTCTGAAGAAGAGAAGAGTGAGGGAGGTTCCAAAGAGGATGGAGAGAAGCTGTTCACAGTAGTGATGGATCACAGAACAAGGAGCAATGGTCTCAAGTTGTGGTGGGAGAGGTCCAGGTTGGATATTAGGAAAAACTATTTCACTACGAGGGTGGTAAAGCACTGGAATGGGTTACCCATGGAAGTAGTGAAGTGTCTATCCTTAGAGGTGTTTAAGTCTTAGCTTAACAAAGCCCTGGCTAAGTTGATTTAATTGGGATTGGTCCTGCCTTGGGCAGGAGACTGGACTTGATGGCCTTCTGAGGTCTCTTCCAGCTCTATGGTTCTATGATTTGTGTCTCCTCTGTCAGTCGTCTTTCCTAGCCCCACTGTGGTGTCTCTGCTTGTCCTCTGGGTTCCCAGATGGTTCCCAGACCTTGCTCCGGGGTCTGGCTATTCTCTCTGCAGCCCTGCCTGAAACCTTAGTTCCTATGCCTGTGGCTCACACTCAGGTTTGGACCTGCATGTAGGAAAGACTGGGGTGGCTTTCAACTCCCCACTGTTAACATTCTAGTGACAGTCGTGTTAAACCTAATTGGGGAATTGGTGGTCTAGACCATGACTCACAAAGGCTCACCTGTAGCTACACCTCTGCTCTTTTAAACATTTGCATTTACCTAAAAAATAAGGTCAGGTTTTTTTAGCAATAATGAAATGAAACTATGAGTCTGGCAGTCAAAAATGCAGAAAAATGAAGGCGAGGTAAAAAAGACAAAGCTAAGCAAAAAGGCAGTTTTTCATCTTATTTTAAAAATCTTGAAGTATTGAACAGAGGACACTCATCTTCTAGGAAACATCTCAATTATCTTCTTATTCTTATTGGAGGAAAGTGCTCAGATGTGATGTTGCCGCTGTAAAACGGCTGTCTTCTTTGGGACTATTCTTAAGAGGACATTGAGTCATCAGTGTCAAATCAAAAAGGTAATTTTTTTAACCTTGAATATTTTAGTGCATTTGACAATTTTTAAAATGTTCATTGAAAAAATAACTATTGTGACTCAGAGAAGACCAACTTTTTAATGCACCAAATCTACAGTGAATTCCTTACTATAATGGCAGAGCAGCTCAGAAACCTTTATTTCATCAGTGAATTGGATGCTAAGTACTTTTCCATAATAGTTAATTCAACACCAGATGTCCTTGTCATGGCCAAATTCCCCAACCTTGGCACTTTGAGTGTATGTAATGGAGGCCGGGTAGTAAAATAAAACCACTGTCAGATTCTGTCTCTGCAGTTCCCAGAGATGAAAAAAGTTTTCTGATTTCAGTTTCCCCTGAAATCTATTTGGTATTGCCATCACCAAGGGTCCAAATCTTTTTCCAGGGAAGAAATACTTGGAATCTCTTCCCTGAGGACAAAACTCCTCAATCTCCTTTCCCCAAGGAGTTTGGAAACAAACAAGCAGTCTCTCATAGAGAAGAATGAACCTTGGTGTCTCCTGTAACATGTCTGTAGCCAGGCACTTAAGTTTAAGGACATAAAAGATCAACCATTACCATTTAACAGAACAAAAAAAATCCCACTTTTATTATTAAAACAAGACTATCGGTGAAAGCCTAGTAAATGAATTGGTGTTACAAGCCATGAATTGAAACAAAACTCGGGTATTCTTCCGGGATTAATCCTTGGTTACGAGAGAGAGAAAAGACAATTAACCAGCTCAGACATAATTTCCAACCCACAAACAAGGAAAACAATAAACCTGATGGATTACCTAAACTTTTTCCTGTTCACACATTCTGATAAATCCAGGGGATCTGTTTTGGGGGGAGTTCATTTCTTCCCTCTGTGCCTGGAGAAGATTCCCCCCCCCTCTCTCTCTCAAACAAAGAAGACTGCTTCCCACAGTTTGGAATTCTTTAGCTGCATTTCATTGGCTTAATACCCAGCATTTAAGGTTAGCTTACGGTTAGCTTAATCTCTTCCTCACTCTCCAGGTAAGTTAGGCTCTCCTTTGCAGCTTCCATTTATGACAGTCCCCTAAAATCCCACACTTCAGAATGCCTAGAGACTATAGTTTTGGTAATCATTGTAGGTTCAGGTTTGGACATCAAAAAATGTTGTGGGCAGAGCTTTAATAATGCTGCAAATATGGCAGGAAAATAGTCGGGTCTACAGGCAAGACTGAACAATGTATATCACGCTGCTTTATTCATGCTGTGTTCCGGCCATTGCTTGAATTTAATCTACAATGCTGCAGCTGCATCTTGTGAGGGAGCTACACATTTTATTTATTTTTTTGAAAATACATAAAACAGTGCTTTATTTTTTGTTTTGTTTTGTTTTTTCATTTCTACACATGAGTGAAGAATGCTATAATTATGCGTGGAGGAGGCAAATGGAAAGCATTTGACAGTCAAAAGAATTTGTGACAGCAGGTGGTCTGCTTGTGTAGATGCTGTTTTGGCTTTCAAAATGAGATGTTATGTTTATAAAGAGAACCTTCTTAGACATAGCCACATCAAAGTCTGAAAAACTGAAGCAAAATCATAGCAGAAAAGTTTGAAAAGTATGATGTTGTTTTTACTGCAAAGAATTAATTAATGTTGTCAGCAAATCACTGCAAAAAGTTGATACAAATTTATTGAATGCAGCACAATTGTTAGCCTTTGTTACAAGTTTTGTCACAAAAGTTTAAAAGGACTATAGGTCTATGGAAGCAGAG